CGTTACAGAGAAAATACACGAAGGGATGATCAAAACAATGCACATTCGAACTTCGAAATAGCCAGCCGATATTTTTACAAAACCATTGTGCAGTAGACAACATTCATATCTCTTTTACAAGCTTGACATTTATGACATATAAAAACCACAAGCTTGAGGGGGAGTGTGAAGATATGAATATTGTTAATTAGGAAAACTAATATAAATATTATGTTATTATTACATAGCATAATTCATGCTAATCACATCCCTAATTATGTGAGATTACAACATTAAGGCATGATATATGTTTGCCTTTTACAAATTCTTATACTTGTATAAATCAAACTTTTGTACAAAACATTATAGATAATACAAAATACATAGAATTGATATTCTGTTTCTCTTCTTTCTCTAAGGCAGTCTCTAGCAAATTATTTTGCTTCTTTTGCCTTTTTGTTGTTGTTCTTCTTCTTTACTACTTCTTCTTCTTCAGCTTCTGACATCTTTAATATTATTTAATATTTTAACTCAAAATCCCTAGTTTCAGACACATAAGCATGGCTATTGCCAACCATTTCACTCGACTGATGCAAATGCAGAGCACGGTGCCCAGGCGGAAACTACTCCTTGAATCGTGGAGGATGGAGACTTATTCGACTGTTACTATTTTTATCTATGGATTTCAAAATTGCGTTGATTGTTAATTCTTTCCTAATTTATTTTCGTAAGATTATGTTGCTATGTTGGCAATTCTTTCCTAGTTTATTTCCTGAATTATAGCATCATTTGTAATCCTTTAAAAGAGGTAGTGATGGAGAAAAAAGGCAATTTCTGATTTTTGTTGAATGATGAACTTGAGATTGGAGAGATTCCATTGACAGAGAGACTCTGTTTGAATTGTTTTTCCCTCTGTTGCTATGTTGGTAATTCTTTCCTAGTTTATTTCCTGAATTATAGCATCATTTGTAATCCTTTAAAAAAGGTAGTGATAGAGAAAAAGGCAGTTGCTGGTTTTTGTTCAATGATGAACTTGAGATTGGAGAGATTCCATTGACAGAGAGACTCTGTTTGAATTGTTTTTCCCTCTTGGAAGTCGACGTGAGGTTTGCTCTAGAGGTTTGCACCAATTTTGAAATCCATAGATAAAAATAGTAACAGTCGAATAAGTCTCCATCCACCACGATTCAAGGAGTAGTTTCTGCCTGAGCACCGTGTTCTACATTTGCATCATCGACACTTCAAACACCCACTCAACACTTTCATAAACTCTTCAATATGATTATAAATGAGAGAGACAAAGATGTTGAGTGAGAAGTAAAACTCCAATAACTGATTTTTCATAACTATTCATAATCAAATGTTCCATGAAAATCTTTTTGACCACAAGATGTAAAGAGATCAAAAGCTTAGGAAGAAGAGGGTTGAGTAAAATATAATCAAAATTGAGATAGTTGTATTGTATTTGTATATTTGTATTTCTAATGGAGATGTAATTGTTAATGTTAATTCTTAATCTAATTTCTAAGTTTGTATTTGTAATTTAATTATAAGAATAGAAAGTGTTAGAAATTCAATTAATATTTCAATGTCTCATTATTTTATTATATTTTATAGTGATTATATATTTTTTTTAATTAATACAAATACAAAATGAGAATAAAGATTGGAACCGAAGTATGAAAAATTAAGAGAAATAATAGGGTATTTATAAGAAAAATTAAAAAAATTAATTTTTTTATAAGTTGTATCATGCCAGCTAGCGTGTCTTTTTTTTTTTAAAGCCCACGACATGGTCCACATGATCATCCCCTTGTCATGCCATACTTTTTTCCGTGCCGTAAGTTGTACCATCCTTTTTGGGGCAGTTTATTAAAACAACCTTTCAAGTTTGAATTAAATTAAAAAGCTATCAAGTTTTAAAGTTTTACTAAATAGCCATATTATTGATTAGGGGTAATTAAACTTGATTAGTGCTTAATTAGGATTAATGAAATATTATGTAATCTTTTAAAAATTATACTATATTCCCAAAAACCCGAAATTCTTGCAAACAAACCCAAACACCTTCTTCTTCCTCCCGCCATTAACGTATCTCCACCTTGGTTGCTGTTTCTTCTTAGCTTCGTCTACATCTTCTTCTTCGTCTGCATCTTCTTCTTCGTCTACATCTTCGTCTTCCTCCTTCCTCTATATCTTCTTTTTCCTCATTCCTCTATATCTTCTTGTTCCTCCGCTATTAACATTTTCTTCTTCCTCCACCATTAACATCTTCTCCGCCAAAGATCCCCCTCCTCCTCCTCCTCCTGACATTTCGTGTAAGTATGTGTATCTCCTCTTTACATTTTATATTTAGATTTACAAAGATTTACTAATGAATGGGATTTGGGTTATGATTTTGATTTAGTTGTTTAGGTTATTGGGTTGTGTTTGATGTAATGCAAGTTGAAAGGAGTGAAATTTGTTGAAAATTTGTTCTGGGTATGATGGACCGATTGTAGGTGGAGATGGCTGAAAATGTGTTTTAGATCTGATGGATCGCTTAAGCGATCTGATATATGACAGAAGATCGCTTAAGTGATCTGGTATAAGTCTAGTATAGAAGATCGCTTAAGCGATCTGGTATAAGTCTGGTATATGCCAGTAGATCGCTTAAGCGATCAAATATATGGCAGCAGATCGCTTAACCGATTAGGCTTATTTGTACTAGATCGCTTAAGCGATGCAGTAAGCAATATACTTCGGTGCGAAATTATATTTCATAATGTTTATTTAATATTTAGTCCTTTTTTATTAATTATCTATTATTATTAATTATTTTTTTCATTTCAATAGAATGTGAAAAGAACACTTCGGTCTTTGTCAATCAGCACCATAAATAAAACTGAAAAATCTATTGTTATTCTATTATTTTTGTTAGTTTTTGGCAAGAAAGTAACATAAAAAAAATATAATATTAATATAAAATTGAACTCTGCAACCATCTGCTCTGCACTCTGTAGACCAAGGCTAAATAGACGAGATCGCTTAAGTGATTAAGGGTAATTTACTTCAATATTTATTTTCCATGTTTATGGATATATGTTTAATATAGACGTAAAAGAATTAATTTAATTAAAATATAAAAATGGTCATGGTCCACTGAATGAATCGTACACATGATATGTTTAATATAGACGTAAACATTCTATATCATATATATTTAATATAGCCGTAAAAGAACTAATTTAATTAAAATATAATAATGGTCATGGTCCACTAAACAAACCGTACACCTGATATGTTTAATATAGACGTAAACATTCTACACCATATATGTTTAATATAGCCGTAAAAGAACTAATTTAATTAAAATATAATAACGGTCATCGTCCACTGAACGAATCGTACATCTGATATGTTTAATATAGACGTAAACATTTTACACCATATATGTTTAATATAGCCATAAAAGAATTAATTTAATTAAAATATAATAACGGTCGGTCTTGGTCCACTAAACGAACCGTACACCTGATATGTTTAATATAGATGTAAACATTATATACCATAAATGTTTAATATAGCCGTAAAAGAACTAATTTAATTAAAATATAATAATGGTCATGGTCCACTGAATGAATCGTACACCTTATATGTCTAAGATAGCATTAATCGCTTAACCAATCTAGTGAAATACAATAAAAGTAATCCAAATACACTGGATCGCTTAAGAGATTTCATTTCTCGCTTAAGCGATCCTGTGTATTTAGACTTCGTCACTTAAGAGATCTAGTTGTATTTATGTTATCGCTTAAGCGATTCTATGCTTTTACACTTGGTCGCTTAAGGGATCACGAACAAGACAGAATCAATAAGTGCCCAGACGCACGATCGCTTAAGAGATTTATTCTATCACTTAAGCGATCCTTTGCTTTTAACCTTGGTCGCTTAAGTGATTACAAATTGCTTAAGCGATCATGTCCGAGGCAGAATAAACTTCTGCCTAGATGCACAATCGCTTAAGCGATTAAGTGTATCGCATAAGCGATTCTTCGCTTTTACTATTAGTCGCTTAAGTGATCATAGATCGCTTAAACGATCATGAACAAGACAATAAATAAGTGCCCAAACGCAGGATCGCTTAAGCGATTCTTCACTTTTATTGTTGGTCAAGAAGACAATAAATAAGTGCCTAAGCGCATGATCACTTAAGCGATCCTTTGCTTTTAATGTTGGTCGCTTTAAACGATTTATAATCGCTTAAGCGATCATATCTGAGATAGAATCAACTTCTACCCAGATGCACGATCGCTTAAGCTATATAAAATCGCTTAAGCGATCTTCTATCATATACCAGATCGCTTAAGCGATCCTTTGCTTTTACTCTTGGTCGCTTAAGCGATCATGTCCGACACTTGGAATTTGCGTCGGCATCCTCCTCTTCAGTTTCAATTTCAACTCTTACCCTCCCTTATTTCGCCAATAGAATGTCTTCTGTCGATGCCGTCTCCTCTCCTGGTGGAGCAACTTCAGTCATCGGAAGTTACTCCACCACAACTTCTTCTTCTCCATTTTTAGTAGACCCAGTCGTGCCTACAATTTGGGGAGTATATGGGTCTTTTTCTGTTTCTTTAAGGACTCAGCCATTATAACTTAATCGAGAATCGCAAGGAATGAAAAAAATGCAAAGAGCAAAGAAATTGAGAAATTGCAGAAAATTGGAAGAAAAAACGAGAGAGAGAACCTGAGAGAAATGTGTTCTGCCTTTTAAATTTTAAATCAACTTCTCTTTATTATAGTCTAACTCACAAATGTTTAAATCTTTTCACCGTAATCCTTTTTGTTGCTTTAATTACACTTAAGTATGCCACGTCATATTTTTTAACCCAAAAAAAATTAAAAAGATTTTCATGGCCATTTTGTTAAATGGAAACTTGGGATGGCCGGATAGCTAAATTTCCTCGTCCTTTTTTTTAAGGTGGGCCGGTACAGCCAGCTCTATTTAGAAGCGCTACTTTATTAATATATTAATATCTATTTCGCAAAAAACACACAATATAACAAACATTATCAGTGCAGGAAATGCTAGTTTATCTGTTTGTCTTCTAGTCTCCATTTATTTGGCAACATTGCTAAGCACAAACAAAGCTTAATTCGATGCGTTTACTTCTTCAACAGTTGCATAATGAATTCGCAATCCTCCCTTCCAGTTTTTATCCCAAATTTCATATAAACCAAAGAAAAGGTCCTCTTCACCTGACTCACCTTTTTTACCAGGTCGAATTGGAACGATGAACTGTTTGTCTTCAGGCTTAGGAATATAAAATTGAGCATCAGGTGTACCCTGCTCCAGCGGCTCAATCTTTTTCCATATGGAATTTCCCCTTGCCCCAATCTTAGCCATCAGAAAAAGTGGGAGGCCATTCCACCCAAAGGACTTGTTTGTGAAAGAAATGTTAAACTTTATTTCATATGACTTCCCAATTTTTACTCTTTTTGTGCCGGTTACCTGAAGCCAACACACCTCAATTAGCTCTGCAGGATTTTTTGACCTGTGTAGTGATATATATGCGGGAATTTTTCAGATTTATGGATATTATACAAACTCTAGTAAATCATGCTTGAATTACATAACTACCTTTAACTTTACTTCTCACTGTTAAATCAATAAAAATTAATAGTTCATAAGGAATATCAAAAAATTATATATATAGACTTTAATAATTAGAGAAGGGGGATTTTCTTCCTTTTTATCTGCTAGTAGTTTCCAGTATTTTTCGTAATTTTCCCTTGTAATATCAAAGGCTCCTTGGTAGTATATATATATATGGACGATAATAATTAGAGAAATGGGGATTTTCTTACCTTTTATCTAGTAGCTTCCAGTATCTTGGGTCATTGCCCCATGTAATATTCAAGTCTCCAGGGTTGATGTTATTATCCTGTACATTTCAAAATTAGTTCTCACTTTCATCATATATATTTCTCAACATGCAAACTAAACTCAACATTTAGGTCATAAATTTGATAAAATATTCCAAAAATTTAATAATAATTTGCATACTTTCATCTAAATATCATCATTCTCAAATCAAATCAAGATTCACTGACCCTTACAATTATCTCCACTGAAAAAAAAAAAAAAAAACAATAATATAAGTTAAAACATATATCAAATAAAATAAAATAAAATATTTTTATCAAAACATAGTTAAAAATATTTTGCTCAATAGATATAGAACTTTATAATATATGAAAAAATAAATAAAAATGAAAAGATAAAAAGGTTATGCTGGACCTTGTCTTCTTCTGTTGTCGCTGCTTCTTCTGGCGTCTGGCCTTTGTTGTTTTCTTCTTCTCCCTCTTCTCTTTGTGGCTGCTTGGGACAAATTGATATCAAAATTTTCTTTCAAACCTTTAAGGCTGTCATGAAAATAATCTAAAATAATTTGATTTTTCATTTTGATGCCTTTAAAATGAATTCTTTTTATTTTTTGAGAATAAAAGTCTATAATGAAAGAAAAAGGTGTTGTCTATTAATATAAATTTTCATTAATATTATTTACAGGTTCAAAAATCTAACTAATATTACTTAAAAAATAATTCAATTTCATTTTTCTAATTTTGATAAAAGAATCTTAAAAATAGAGAACTTTTTGGTAAGTGACTAACCCTGAGTCCCTGACTCTAACTGCATTTCATTTTTTGTCAGTGAAGAGGATTAAAAGAAGGAAAAAAAAAAAAAAAAAAAAGGATTATTCTGACTTTAATATGTGGTAAATTTATAATAAAATAAAAAATGATGATTTAAACGTTGAAACAATACCGGAATAGTAGGGGAAGGCTCCTTGGATAATGATTGACCTTCTAGCTCTTAAGAAGTAAAAGAGAAAAAAAAATCATGAATTAATTTGTTTTTAAGTAAATAATAGTATACCCTAATTAACATATTTCCTACACATACACTTGTGTGGGTTTTGAAGAAGAAGTTGGAGAAATATGTATTAGGGGGCATTTTCGTTCTTCAAAATTAGGAAATTGAACTAGGCTATTTTGTGATACTTTTCACTTTGGGGTTAGTTTTTATTTTACGGTCTAAAATATGATTAAATAATATAATTACCGCATAACTTTATAATATATTAAATAAAAATAAAAATAAATAGAAGAGAAAGTTATGCTGGACCTTTTTTACCTTCTCTGTTCCTTTCAACTTGTCATCTTTGGCCTGCTTCCCTTTGTTCTCATCTTCTTCTCTCTGCTGTTTCTTTACTTCAGAGATCTGTTTTAGAAACTCTTATTGGTTCAGTTTTTAGAAACTCAAACATAATATACTCCAAAAATAATATACTTCTAAAAACAAACTTTCTTTGGTACAATCCTCTACTCTCAATGTTAAGGTAAAATCAAAAAACAAAAACAAAAAAAATCTAAAACATATATCTATTGATGAAAAAAAAAATCTTCTTTCAATTATATATATATATATATCTATATATATATATATATATATATATAAAGAGGAAAAGAGAGAGCACCTCTGTGTTTTCTTCTTCATGCTCTTTCTTATCTCCAACCGCAAATTCAAGCTTTGTAATCTGCTTTGCCATAGTCTTTTTTCTTCTGTCCAATTTCAAAATAATCATCTTCTTTCAATTGTCGAGACTATATTTACACTAACTTTTCATGAGAACTACATTATTGAGGTCCATGAGTTTTGAAAAATTAACATTTACACTCCTTGTTTAAAACTCATATTCATCAGCTGCCATGTCCTTGTCTGGCCTTTACAGCTGTCATGTCCTTGTCTCTGCTCAAAGTCATTTTTCTCCCTCAATGAGACAAATTCATGTTAGAAATAGATTTTATTTTTAAAATTGAAATTTTTTATATTTTTTGTTGTTAAATGTGAAATAAATTTTGTATTTAAGTAATTAATTCTTAAATTCATTTATTTTGTTAAAACAGGAAATTTGAAATACTTTTAAATAATTACATAATGAAGTATTATAAAAATATTATTAATTATTTTTATATGTTAAAAGTTTTATGTAAATATTAAAGTAAACCAAGGATTAAATTGTTTTCTTAATTAATTACATTAATTAGCAAAATTGACTTGCCAAATGCTAACAGTCAACGAGGAGACAAAGACACTAACATTGTTTTATTTTAGACATATTTTTAGGGCTGATGAATTACATTTTCACCACCAAACTATCGCAAAAAACATTTTTCCCCCTTAATTTCAGAAACACCCAACATTACTCCATCTTAAAGAGTAAAAGGCGTTGAAGAAACAGAAAAATTAAAGTTGGAAACAAACATGGACGGCAACCAGCCTACACGATCTAGGTGGCTGGATTTGCGGCGAGTCTCTGGCTTTCGGCGATCTAGGTTGCCCGATACTAGCCTGGTGGCTTGGTCGCGATTGATCGACCGCCAGATCTTGGCCTGGACCACCACCAAATCTTTTACTTTTAAAATAATTAAAAAAAATTGTTAATTTTCTTTTACTCTTGTTGATTTGTTGATCAGTGTTGATTGCCAACTTCTTACCATTTTAATATTTTTAAATCTATAAATAAAATAATTAAGTTTTTATTTAAATTTATATTGTATATGTGAAGTAGACCTGGCAAACGGGCCCGGGTAGCAACGGGTCACGGTTGGAACGGGTCACGGGTTAACGGGTGAAAAATTCTCACGGGTCGACATTTTCATGATCCGTACCTGCCCGTGCGGGCACGGGTCACCCGTGAAAATGGAAGCAGCTTTTTACATTTTTCATATTTTTTACTATTTTCCATATTAAACTTATTAGTTATTAACTTATTATATTAAATAAATGGATGATTAAATTAAATTTCATTAGATTTCACCAATATTATTAATTCAATATTAATATTTTTCATATTTATATCAAACTCCACCATATAGATAATAGAATTAATAAACACTAAACATACATAGTAATTACTAATTAGTAAACACTAAACATATAAAATTGTTTAACATTCAACATACATAACATAGTAAACACTAAACAATTAAACATATATAATTGTTTAACCAAAGTACCAAACACACTAAACAAACAAAGTCGCCCTTGATTATGCAATCTCCTTCCCCGGCACTTGACTTAATGGCACAAGCAACTGAACATCATCAATTTCATCTTCTACAATTAACAAAATATAAGTTAACTATCATAATATATTAACAAACAAAAATATTAAAACATGGGAAATATAAGTTAAAATGTTACCTTTAACTTCATATCCAGAAATCCATGTCTTGGTGCATATCAAAGACTCTGCATTCTCTAGTAAAAGTGAACTTCGATATTTACTGAGCACTTTGCTACCAATACTGAAACTGGACTCCGAAGCAACAGTCGTTATTGGTATACTCATCACATCACGGGCCATCATCGAAAGTATCGGGTATCGATCACTATTTTTCTTCCAATGGTCCAGGATATCCAAATTGCAAAATTTGATACGATCAAATCTTGCCTCTCACAAATAAGTATCCAATTCGGACTTCTTAGTAGCATTAAAGTCACTCTTATAGTAGTCAAATTTCTGCACCATTTAAATACAAAATTACAAGAATATAAAATAAAAAAAACCTTATTAATAACAAGAATATAAAAATATTTAGGGAGTATTGACTTACACAAATATCATCTCCAATGATATTAGGATCACTAACTTGCACACAAGGATCGCTGGGAACCTGAACCTCATTGCCACTTAGACCTTCATAAGCAGCAAAAAACCTATACAACTCTTGCTTGACCAACTCCAACTTTCTTGTTGCAACTACTGGGCCATCAACTTTTTTGTAACAAAACTCAACAAACTCAAACTTGAAACGTGGGTCCAGAATTGTTGCAATTGCTAACACAACAGTGTAAGAATCCCAATATTTGTCAAATTTTCCTTTCATTTGACTTGCCATGGTACTAAGAACTTCATCCTCATTTTCCATCTCTTCGTATAAACACATTTGAATTCTCCACACATTTCTGAGATATAAGTTTACTGTTGGGTATTGGGAACCCAAAAAAAGAGTAGTGATCTCATAAAATGGTTGCAAGAACTTGCAAATCCTCACCCCCCTATCCCATTTTTCATCTGAAGGACAACTTTTATAATTGGGATCTATCAGTGCCAAATGAACAAACACACGACGGTATATTAATGCACTTTCAAGCATTAAATAAGTGGAAATCCATCTCGTGGGAGCATCCATTCGCAATCTTTTTGAGCTTGTCACACCAATTTTTTGAACAAGTTCTCCAAACTTGATTCTTTTAGCCTCACTTCCTTTAACATATTTTACACTTTCATGAATTTTATGCAAAGTCACTCTACTCACCTTTAATCCTTCTTGGACTATGAGATTCAAGATATGTGCACAACATCACACATGAAAAAAAGAACCATCACATAATAAAACATTTTGCACACAAAGTTGACTCCTTAAAATGTCTTCCATTTTATCATTGTTACTTGCATTGTCTAATGTAAGAGATAAGATTTTCTTTTCAATCCCCCAATCTTTTAAGAAATCATATGCTATGTCTGACAAAAGAGCCCTTAAGTGTGGAGAAGGAATATGGCAAAAATTCAGAATTCTACTTTGTAACTCCCAGTTCTCATCAACATAGTGAGCCGTTAAAGAAATATACCCATCAGTAGTACAAGAACTCCAAATATCAGAAGTTAAGCATATTCTACCCGAAACCCTCTCTAAAGCAAGCTTAATCTTTTCCTTCTCCCTGTAATATATCTTTAAGCAATCTACCTTAGCGGTGTTCCTAGTATAATGCTTAACTTCATGATTCAAATACATGTGGACATCCCTAATTCCTTCATACTCCACTATTGAATATGGATAGTTATGTTTTATGATTCCTATTGCCATCTTCTCACGATAAAATTCTTGAGAAATCTTCATACGTCTCAATTTAGTATCACAATCCATCATCATTTGATCTACACTACTAGTAATGGTACGTTTAGGACAACCTCCATATGACGCCTCATATTCTTAGTCCCATGACTGGAACTACCATGTGCATATGACCACGAATCATACACTTTACCCTCACCTCCCCATTATCTTCTGTATATGTTGTAAATTGACCCCAAACATCTGAAACTTTACGTCTTTTTGGACAAACAATACTACCAGTAGAAGGGAGTTGACCTACGGCTATATTACGACCTGTTCCTAAATCTGTAGACTCCTCCATACCAAGCCAATCTAAAGGACACAACAAAGTATTTACATTTAAATTAATTAACCAATCATAATTCATAACAATTCGTCCAAAAAAAAATAAAAACACTCCCATATATTTTACAAGCAAACCCGCCCTACCAAATGACTGGATTTTTCCAACTCAACAATCAACACCCCTCAACTCCAATAAGTATAACCAATCATAATTCATAACAATTCATCCAAAAAAAAAAAAAATTAATAAAGAATTTATGAATTCAAGTTGCATTAATAGCATATAAGGTTATCAAATACAAATCATAATATATTACAAATTGATCACAAGTTTGACTTATATGTTATAAGTGTGACATTTAATATAACAAAAACTTTGTTATATTTATTCTGTATAACTTAACATGGATGTTGAGGAAGTAACATGATTAATTAATTAATTTGAGAATTTTTTAAAGTATGAGTTTAAATGCACCAAATAATACACAATTTTTGTTAGCATAAAAATCAATGCTTCTTTTCTTCATTCAATTCTTTCACCAATAGTTTTAGAATTTATAGATCAAAGTTAAAATTTGGTACCCCACGGTCCCCACCCATAAATTGCCTAAAGCAATATTTTCTTTTTGTATCTCCTATCAAATAAAGAAAGATTATTTCTTTTTGTTTTTAAATGTGACTGCTTCTCAATGTTTTGCAAGCAAGATCTATTTGGTCACCTGCTTCTCTTTTCAACCAAATCATTAAATATATGTTGAATTATTGGTGCATATTAGATAGGATGTAGGAGTAATCTGCAAGGTTGTAAACAAAGGAGGGTGTGCTTGTAATTGTATCTAAGTAAGTCAAACGCAGCGTTTTAGTGTCTGTCCTGCCAAAACGCTGCGTTTGGTTACAGATACCAACTATTAAACAGTTGGTCTTGGTACTCGTCTTAGTCTTCTAGTCGTCTTCTTCAAAACAGAAAAAAAAATCAGTAAAAAGCTACAACCTACAGAGCAGTTTTTTGTCACGCAAGATTTGTCTTTTCTTCTTTCAGTTTCAAACTTTCAATTCGTCTCTACAAGATCTTTCAGTGCATGTCATTTCATGGAAGCTTCATTGTTAATTGCAAATCCAGGTGAGATCTAATGCTATGACCACATACATGCCCACAAGCCACAATTGATCATAACTCCAATTTAATCTAAAGATTGGTTTGAATTAAGAGACCACACTGACCTGACTGCTGCCCTGCTGCTGCCGTGCTGGTGCTGCCATGAGAGGAGATCTGGTGCTGCCGTGATTGAGATCTGCTGCTGCCGTGACCTGCTGCTGTTGGTGCCTACTGCTACCGTTAGAGAAGTCAAAGAATGAGGGAGAGTGGAGCTGCTGTGAGAGTGGAGCTGCTGTGAGAGTGAGAGAGTGAGGGAGTAGAGCTGCTGTGAAAGGAGTGGAGCAATGGAGCTGCT